ATAATAACTGTAAATATTGATGAAAAGGGATTTTAACACAAATGACTTCGACATATGTTGTCAAAGACACCACCATTAGAATACTTTAACTGACGCTTGTCCATTTTGATCTATCTCAAATTAATACCAATATTGATCTTTTATTGCAAAAAGGAAAGTATCAGTATTGATTCGGATTAAATAAATCTCCGGTCAGCCGATAATACTGTCACCACTTTGAAAAATATGTCATTCAGTAAAATTTTTCTATTATTTGATTTTTAATCATTTTTTAACGACTAAAATCTTTTGGAGGATAGTCGCAAGAGTATTCTTGATAATATACGAAAGAGTTAAGGGTCAAGTAGCTCTAAACTCCCTTTTGATCATATTTACCTCAACTTTCAATTGTTAATTACTTGAAGTACTTAAAAGAATACTTACTATTTTTTAAGCATACGATCAACATACAAACGTAATGAAAGATCAAGTAAAATATTAAAGGACTGCTAAAATTTACAATGCTTCAGAAATCATAATTATTTATAAAATATGTTTAATATAATAAACTAGATTGAAGGAATAAACTTCTAGTAATATCCAAAGTAGTTAAAAATATTTGAATTCTTTGCTGCAACAAATAATAGTAATAGATCTCTTGAAATTTCTATTAAACATCTTCTGTTTTGAAAAATGTTCCATCTTTTAAGAAATTCTGTTGTGATGATGTTCTAATTTGCTTGTACCCATCAGCGGACGCAGTACATTAGCTCCATGTTTAAGTATTTAAGTTTGTTTACCAATATTTATAAATCATTTTATGCATTCAAAAGTATCGAATGTATTAATTTTACTGAATGTAACCACTGATATTACATTAATATTAGTATAAGTTTTTTTTTTGTATTAAATTGTTATTTTATATGTCACTTTGCAAGGTTTATGGTTTTTTTACTGTATTCGTGACTGAAGTTATTATTACAAATATATGTATGTACAGTAGCTTATAAGAATTATTCTACATTCACATCGTAACATGTATGTATATATGATATATTCAGCATTCGACATATAAATAAGATGACCAGTGTAACAATGAGATTTATTACGCAGAGAAGGTATACTAGCGCAGGTACTTTTGTTATTCTTTTACACTCCTGATCAATCTTTGAATTCAAATAACGAAAAGTGTAAATGGACCCATGTCTAGGAAACATTTAACATATCACGATTTTGGTAATACAAATGTACACCATTTGCCTCTGCTTGTAACTTATTGTTTAAGGCTATACTAAGTTTCAAATAATTACATTAAAAGTATACAAGAATTTTTCTTTGTAACTTTATATTGCAAATATATATAGATAATGTTGCTGTTGTGAGTAGCTTTAACTGCGAACTTTTTTTATTTATGTGTGAGCGTGATGAATGTATCAATTGGTAAATTAAATATGCATATTTAGCATACAAATATTAGTTTTCCGATATGTATTACTTTTGCATGCATTGTACCGCGGCTCTTGTATTCTTTGTAGAATATAATAAGTTATTGTTTAAGTTATTACTTAAAGTAAAAATTATGGTTTGTAAAAAATTGTGCGCACAAAATAAATAAAATTCGATATAACGTAAGGAGAAACCTGAAAAAAATAAATAAATGAAATTGTTACTTCAAGTTTTATTTATAAATCTTGTATTAATGAGAAGCATTTGAATGTAAGCTATATATGATTATAATAATATATAAGATACATAAAAGAAACAGGATTTTTATTCTTTATATTTCGTAAATCGGAGATATTTACTTTTTCTTAAAATCTTTTTAACATAGTTTCTTAATGTACTTTATGTTGATTACTATAAAAAAAAACACTTTTAATTCATATTAACGCGTTTTTCAAATAAATTAAGTAAAATCTATTTGATAAATTCCATAAAATATCAACATCGGTTTTAATCTATGTACAACATATCTGTGTGAACATCTATGCAAATCGATTCTTGAGTAGGAACTAGGAACGTAGGAAATAGGAACTTCGCGCAGGATATCATGTATATATGTATACAATGCGTACATAGATTGGTTAATCTCACGCGTGTAGAAGAGAGTAATGCGAAACGCCTAATATGGCTAGCGATAAAAAATCAGGAAAATCTTCCAAAGGTACAAAATCCACTGCTGAAATATTGTCGGAATTTCAAACGCTACGCAATGAGCAACGAACAATGGCTAATAAATTATCGGAAATGGAGATGGAATTAAATGAACACAAGTATGAATTCCTTAACCTATACTAACCACTCTTGTGCTTTATAAACATAAGCGTTTTCCACTATTTGAAATAATTAACGAACAATCTTTATTAAATTTTAATCTAGTAAAATTATAATTCATTTATTACAAAAAATAAAAGTATAAGTTTGATCATTTTTATATATAAATTTCATGAATTTTGCAAGCTAAGCATCCGTTGCATTCTAGAAATATTTATAAATAACTTTTCGATATTACAACGAAGTATTTCAAATTTTAGGATTGTAATTGACACATTGAAGCATGTCGATCCAAAAAGGAAGTGTTACAGATTAACGGGAGGTGTACTATGCGAGCGCACTGTAGAAGATGTAATGCCTGCGTTAACAACAAACAAGGAACAGGTAATATGTTTTCCATATGTTTTGCATCTTAAAACGTTTAAAGTAGATATACGTTTGTATTATTACGAAGTTCGAATAACATATGCATCACGATTTGTAGCTTATAAAGATCATAGATGGATTCAATGATCAATTAACAAAGAAAGGAATTGAAATTAATGAATTTAAAGAAAAGCATAATATTAGAATTAAGGGCCAGCAGGATGTGCAACCGCAACAGCAAAGTGAAGAACCAAAAGAAGCGAAAAGAAGCACAGTTGTTGTTAATTCATTGTTGAGCAACTATGCTTAAAATCAAAAATTTCGCTTCGAATATATGCTACATTTCGATTTAAATACTGTTTCGACATTTGCTTTCTTACTATTCTGAGATATCGTTCTGTTCATACACAGTTCTTCAATATTTTAACAACAGTGTATTTTTTATGAAATGTATTTATTCGTTTTCGTTTCTAATTAATAGTATACAATTTTAATAATTACTTTATTATTTTGAACTATTATTTTCTTAAATTAATTTATCGTTAAAAGTTGTAAAATACAATGTATTCAATTCAAAATTCACAAATAGACAGCTAAATTAACATTACAAAATTGTAATGCGTCGTATTTTTTGTTATACTAGTGATGAAACCAGAAGTTTGTCATAAAAACATGAAGATGCAACAATATTATTAGAAACATTATAC